AGAGAGAGAGAAAGAGAGAGGGACGCGGGGAGGAGTAGTACGCGAGACGAGAAACATGGACTTAACAGGCGGAGAGAGAAGCGGGGAAAGGGGGGAACGAAGACGGGATCTCCATGTCTTAATATAATTCTATTAGAGGTAACTATGCGAGCTCTGGTCTGCCCATCGCCATTGGATTTAATCACGAACTCAGCCAACCGTGCGATACCGTCCCGCAGCACCTCTCGGACGACGGCGGGATGAGCGCAGGAGGGCGTAGGAGGGCGAGGGAAGGTAATGGGTGGGGTGGAAAACTCTTATTGTCAAATTAACCGCCGACTACGGCTGATCTTCAAATCCGCCGCGTTTCCGGAATTTACGGGCGGAGACTCGGCCTCCACGACGGAGATCTCGAGGAGATGAGACCATTTCTAGTAATTATTCATGGAGGGTGGAGACACTCTCGGCCGTCTTTAAGCGTTCTCGCGCGAACTAGGTAACCGAGCAATTAAAAATAACGATAGGAGGGAGCCGAGTCGGAATTGAGAGGCGCCCCTCAGATCCCGGCCGGAGCGAATATATACGAACGTTCAAATAAATTCCCATTATCTTGCGTGTGTTACAGCCGAGCTGAAGATGGACGTTCTTCGGGAGCGAGAGGTCAAGGACAGCCTGGAGCGGCAGCTCCAAGACGAGCAGAAGGTGCGAGGTGAGTACAAGTACAACAGTACGATTTTACTTGGATCGGAATTGGCGGAGAGAAGAATTATTTGCAGAGCGTCGGAATCGAGACGCCGGTTTATTCAAATTTTACAAGACGGTGTCGAAATTATTGTCGAAATTATCCACTTTTCACACTTATCAGCATTGAGAAACTTTACTTGGCCGGAAAGCATGTTGATAGTTGGTACGCGCGATTCGCGACACACGGCGATCTCACGGGCGCGCATCGATCGCCTCGAGCGGGTTCTCGAAGCGAGACTTAACTCGCCGATAAATCAAGGGACCGAGATACCGCGTTATAAAGTCCCGGCCGGCTCTCGTCCATTCGTCGATTCCCGCGTATCGTATTATTGCGTGTTGGGGGTCCTCGCCTTAACTCGTGCCCGCCGCCAATGTTCCCTGCGCCCACTTCAGACGCGCCCCCGTCTCGACGTCTTTCGGATATCTTCGCGTTTAATGGAAGGAAAGCGGGATCGAGCCAAGAACCGCGATTGCTTCGCCGAGTATCGGATGTCAAAGCATAATAAAATAGTCACCGCCGTGTCTATTTCCTTTTAATCATTCACCCGATTTTCTGATATGTTCCTTTCGCTTTCTTTAATTCTTTTCGTTCGTCGTTATTTTCTTCAAGTACTATCCGGAATCCTTAGACGATTTTCCATTTCTTTTGTATAATTCTAAATACTAAGCGTGGCTTCCCGAAAACGAAAATTTCACGAGTGTTACTTGTTGCAAAAACCAATCGTGTTATCGAACACGATGAAATATCGGACAGACAGGTGAGAAGGGTGTACAGATAACTCTCAATTTACGCGATTAATGTGCTACCTGTAACCTTCCGTGTAAATTCGAATTCGCGTAAATCAAAAGCTGACATAAGAAGAGAGTGCGCATCGTTCTGTGAAATCGTTATCGCTTTAATTAAAAATTTCAGTGATTTTGTTTTTCTCTTCAACTCCAGTTTTTTAATGAACGAATTAGCGTACAGATTCAACGTGCCTTCATGAAAATGCGCGAACGTCCGCCTTTGATCGAGGATCAGAACTGAATCTTTGGCTCCTGCTTGCAGATATAATATCGCGGATTTTCGCAGCTCGACACTGTCGACGTCTGACGTGACAACAATGCGAGACTCGATAAATATGTAAAAGTCGGGGAGAACGTGCCACGCCATTCGCGGCTTTACGAAACGCGACGTGCTACTGTATTCAGGAATAATGAGTGAAATAGTCTTTTTGCAAGTGGCGTGGCCACGCCTCGGAAAAATCCTGCGATTAGAATATTGTGCTCCCGACATATTCGAGCCCCGAGAGAAAATATTAATAAATTAAATTTTTTTCCACATTATCCATTTAAACGGAATCATTACTCATGTGTCGCGCGAGACTGAATTTTCGATAAACGCGAACGAATATCGCGTATAGCGACGCGAATGCGTTTCAGTCGATTCTCAGGAAAAACGACTCGGCAAGGCCGGGCCCTCGCGGTAACACGAGCCTGTGACAACAGCAGTCCATTAGTCAACCAGCTCGGTGTCAATACATGAATATGACAGCCAGTCTCACGGAATATCCTATCCACCCTCTTTCTCTCTCTCTCCCTCTCTGTCTCTTGTTCATCTTCTTTTTCCCGCCGCTTCGTCCTTCCGACCGTAACGTCAAGCGAAACCATTACTCGCCCTATGATATCGCAAATATAGTAAATAGTCCGCTCGCATTGTGTGGCCTATCGATAACTTTATCCGTGCGAGCGGTGTATGCATTCCGCGCGCGTTCGACATTACGTTATCACTTAAACTATGTTATGTTGAAATCCCATCTGTTACCATTGATCTTTGTATCTTAATAATATCTTTGGGGTGACATTTTCAAAAATGCTTTTCGGGAAAGTATCCTTTCTTTATCTCTCCGCGTTTACGGCGACCAATATATCATCTAAAGCAACGTATTAACTCGTGAGTCGAAAATACCGAGGGCTATGCAAGAAAAGGAATTCTTTCGTACAAAAAAAAAAACAAAAAAGAAAAAAATAATAGTTCGTTAAGAAGCCCTCGGTGTAATTTCGTCTCTGTTCGGGGCGGATCTCGTGGCGTCGCGAGACGTAAGGCGATACGTAATTTCGTGCGTAGCTGCTCCGCGGCTCGCAGGATTCTAAGATGATTGATGACCGGCCAGTCCCACGGATATTTACGCAAGCACTTCGTAAGACTTCTTCCTCTCATTCGACTAATGACCGCCTTGTAAGAGATACCTTGTCAACCTTTACCGTCCGCCGGCGGACGACGACGACGAGGACGACGACGACGACGACGACCCCGACGCGCTTTAACGAGGGCGTATCCGTCGGCGGTTTTTCCGATCGAGTACTCCACCGCTGCACACCCCTTTTTCCCGCGGAACGGCGTGCGATGCACACGTGCGCGAACCTTCCTTGCCAAGCCATCCGGCTTGGAGTTTAAAATATCAAGAAAACAGCCCACGCGCGCGCACTCGCTCGAGATTGTCAGGTGAGCAACCAGTACATAAAAACATTTAACGAGTTTAAAAATATGTAACAAAGCAAATGACGCTGATTAGAATTCACTGCCGACACGGGAAAAAGAAATAGATACTGTTCATCGGCGATGAATGTCATTACGCGACGCTATTACGAGAGACAAGTGTCAACGACGTCGGAGACGTCGCTTTATACGCGATTCCACGGGCAATTTGTGCGACAGAATCGAAATCGTACGTGATACAACGACGGCGTTTCAGGATGGGGGAGAAGCAGCCCGTTATTAGCCCGTTTAAAGCCCCGCTTGGCATTTCGGTAAAGGTTGAAATCTTCGACCGCCCGCCGGGTGGGTGGTCGTATTATCTTAGCAGGGGTTGCGAGAAATCCGGCTTCCTTCCTCAGCGATATCATGACGGCAAGGGAGTTGCCAGTTGTATACGCGACTTTGTCGACGGCGAACAATAAGATGACCTTTCGCAGCTGCTGAACGCGCGGCTCGTAACTCTGACCATAATACGCGAAAGAGCAACGACCTCCACGTTGAAACCTGCTTCCGATTGTTCCTCGAACAATCCCGCGAAGAGCTAATAATTTCAAAGCCCAGAAGAACTGCGAGCCGGCGTTGTTTCAATTTATAATTATTATATTTAAGTAAAAGTTGATTTACAATGGAAGCACGGAAGTATGGAATGTGCAAATCATTATACTGTTTTTTTAACTCTTACGTAAACGTTGAAAAATTACGAAAAGCAGAAGCGCCGATGGCGTCATTGTTTTGACATTTTTTCCCCCGCTAATTCGACCGTATGAGGAAGTGCTGTATTAACGTTCGCGAGACGCGCTTCTCACGTTCTTCTGGCGCTTACGCAAACGCGGAAGATCGCATTTAGACCACGCGTACGAATCTTCTCTCTGGACAAGTGCGCTCGGTACTCGGCTGCTCGAGCTAATATTAATATTAGTATTGAAACGATACGCGCGAATGACGCAAGAATAACAAACACGACGGGAAGAAACGCGCGACGCGGCTTCTGGATTTGATCCACTGGCGGATATTCTGGCCGAGCTACGCGATCTCAGGCTACGTATCGTAGCGAACGGACGACGACATTTTCGCGCAAAAGCAAAAAGCTCCCGACACGCGTAAACCTTCGGAACCGCGGAAGCCTGGGAACCGACAGCTGCCTTTGCCGCCGGTTTACACGGAGCTGCGGCCTCCCTGTAATTAGCCGAGCCGTTTGTCGCGAGACCCGTCGAGAGGAACACCCCTTTCAAGCCCTCCCACATCCCTCTCGCCTACCTCGTGGGCGTCTCTCGCTGCAGTCTACGAGAAACGTTGTTAACTACTTTAAGTTGTGAGATTTTCCGAGGAAAAAAAAAAGACTCGAGATCGTTACTCGATTGATCACTCCGTACCGGTTCGGTCGCCTTGGCAGATACTTTGCAATTAAATAAGAAACAAGATACTTTCGCATAGAAAGAGTCGTAAAGAAATTACGGGTAAATGTAGTGTCGCGACATACTAGGAGATATCTTTGCAGCGAGTACGCTACGAGGTAGTTATCTCTAATGACAAACATTACGCTCAATCGTATCCGGTTACGGTTATGGGACACGCTCGATCGAGCGTCGCGTCGCGTCGCGTCGCGCGGCTCTAATGCGGAATTAATCTCTCCGGTGAAAAAGTAACTGTAACGATCTGCCGACGCGTTATCTCCCGGCGCTGCCGCGTCGCCGGGCGACAAACGGAATTGAAACTGCACAATCAACTCGCCGAGATTTATATACGACTCTCCCCTCGAATTAGCCGGGCCGTAATGCCGGGATCGGGTGTCGGTGTAATTGGGACCCGAGGGACTTTCCCGCGTTTCAACCCCTGCTGTCGGCCACCGCCCACGCCGGCGTCGTCGCACCATCCCCGTTGCGCTCCCGATTCCGCGCTCATCCTCGACATCGTGGCGATCAAGCAGCTAGAAGTGACTTCACTCCAGCAGCGACGATTACGAGAAATATTGGAGGATAATCGCGAAATAAAATGAGGAAAATTGCGGACCGGCAGTAATTTGCCGAATCAGAATAATCTAGTATGTTTAATTTTGTCGCTAATTTTTCACAATGAAATACAACGAAGATATTTGATTATTTTCGAAAATACATATTCTTCTAATGATATTATTCGCGACGCGTTTCTGCCTCGTGTCGTTCCGCCACGAGTCGAAAGCTAATAATTCTCCAAAGAATTGACGACGCCGCTGATGGCGACGACAACGTCGATGACAACGACGCTCTCTCGTGCGTAACGGCAGCTGATTCGCTTTGAAGTGTACGTTTATAGCGATCGACGGGACCCTCCTCGGTGCTGTAGCTAGGTAAACGGAGCTAGGACGGAGGACGAACGCAACATCGTTCACCCCCGCCGCTTGGCGGCCGTCGTTGATGCGCATATACGCACCCACGCAAACTCGCACACACAGAAACGTGCCGATGACC